CAGGAATGAAGGTCTGGGTCATCCTACCAGGCAAAGAACCACAGCCAGCTGAGGTGCTGGCCGAGGGCAAAGGAAATTCAGAATGGGTAGTAGACGGTAGTTCTACCTATCAGTTATGACCACTTGATCAATTGCAAAAGTGAGGGCTTTGATTGTCACTTTACCTTCTTTATATGTGCTTATTGAATATCTTTCCTTTGTTCATGTATAATGTACCAGACACAATTAGATTCAGTGTGTTTTCATTTATATGTATGATAGATGTTTGATCTTAGGTGTAAGTGTGATTGCATTAATGTCTAGAAATTATATATGGCTAAAGAATTCTGTACAGGTGCCAAGTTGCCAAGGGGTGGATGGTGATAGGTAGGTTTATTGACCAATAGGAACATGTAGGATTAATAAGGCTGCAGTTTGATTGGAGGTCAAAAAGATAAATGACTTGGCAAGGCCCACCCCTCTCTCTCCTGCTCTCTGGTGATCGGACCAGCGTGCAGCTGCCTTAGCTAGTTCTCTGCCTCAACTTGTGAGCTACACTACCTGTGAGACAGCCAACCCATGGATCGTCACTAGAGCTTGAGGCTCCTTTGAGATCTGCTTCACCACACTGCTAGTGTGCACATCGCTTGAGTTGAGGCTGTTGGATCCTGCCGTCTTGCATCGCTTGAGTTCGATATCCCATCCAGGCCTGCTTCACTAAGCTCCTGAGCTGCTGACTGTTTGTGACCTGCCCTGATGTTTGCTGCCTGTGGAAGGACTGCCTGCATTGCCTGAGGGAAGACTCAGATGTCTGCTTCCTTGCCTTTGAACCCAGCAGCCCTCAAGAGTTGAAGGACTTCCAGTATATTAATTGTTCCATGAAAGTGAGCTGAACTGTGCCCTCTACACTGCTGTGTGGACTAATTAGCTGTTAATGGTCCTTCATGCTGAATATAGTCATAAGTGTCCTGGGTTTGTTTCTCTAGAGAACCAAGTGTTTGGATTCTGGATGTATTTTAAAAGGAGAATTAACAAGATTGGTTTGTTGACAGATTGGATAGGAGTTGTGGTTTAAAGGTTTTTTTGGCAGAGTAACTGAAACGATCAAATTGTCATTTCCTGAAATGAGGACTGACTTAGATGAGGTCATTTTCGGGGGGGGGAAAGATCAAACAAACTGGTTGCCATTAAATTAATTCCGACTCCTAGCAACCTTAGGGACAGAGTAGAACTGCCCCATAGGGTTGCCAAGGCTGTAGCTTTACAGAAGCTGACTTCCACATCTTTCTCTTATGGAGCGCCAGGTGGCTTTAAGCGGCTGACCTTTGGGATAGCAGTGAGTGGTTAACTACTGTTCTTCCAGGGCTCTGGAGAAATGATCAGGTGTTCAGATGTTGACTTTGAGATTTCTATTTGACATACAAATGGAGATGAATAGTACAGAAGCCCTGTTACCAAGGTGCTTACAGTTATAGAAATGGAAATAAAGGAGGTAATTACAATATCTGTGCAAAGTGTTGATTCAGAAGAGTGCACAGAAAATCAACGTATTACCTGTGCTTGTAGGGGAGGGGCAGAGGTGGCTTAAGCAAGGCTTCACAAAGGAGTTGACATTTTTAATTTGGTTCTGAACAGTGACTAGGTGGTCAAAGGGTCTTATTTTCTGTATTTTAGAACCCCATCACAGAATGGCTGCTCAAATCAGACTCCACTCATCCACTAGCTGTGTGACTTTGGATATTATTTAATTTCTGTGACCTTCAGTTTCTATGAAATGGAAATAATCATAGGATCATTAAGGTAGAACACTTAGCACATGGTGTGGTACATAGTGGGTTAGTGTTATTATTGTTGCTGAATAGAGGAGTACAGGAATAATCTTCCTAAATGACCAAGTCTAGGCTAGTCTGGTGACCAGTGCATAATATTTTCCACATGCTCAGCAGTTTGCCAACAGAATGTGTTACACTCCTTTCCTATATCCTAAAGGTGGCTCAGGAATAAAATCCCCCTACAACCTTGGTGTCGGAGTGGTAATGCAGTTGGGTTGCTGACTACAAGATCAGCAGTTGGAAACCACCAGCCACCTCAGAGGAAAAAAAAAGAGGCTTTCTATTCCCGTAAAGAATTACAGTCTTGGAACCCCACAGGGGAAGTTCTACCCTGTCCTATAGGGTCGCTATGAGTTGGAATGGGCTCAATGACAGTGAGTTTGGTTTCAGTATAGTCTCTGACCTGCTGTGATTAAAGTGTTGCTAAACTTATAGTGAAAAGAGCCTTAGTGGTGCCCACCAGGAGAGAAAGATGAGGCTGTCTGCTCCCATAAGGAATTTAGTCTTAGAAACCCTATATAGGGTCACTGTGAGTCAGAATCCACTTAATGGCAGTGGCTTTTCTTTTCCGTTGTAAACTTGGAGTGAATGGAGACTGTCAAACTGTGCCCTGCACCCTTACCCGAATTGACTGGTCAAAAAAAGAAAAAAAAGAATGTAAAACTGTTAGACTCACAGTAAGCTTCTCACTCTGTAGGCTCTCTGTGATGCAGACGGGGCTGGGTTGGCACGTCTGGGAGGAGGTTCTCTAACACAGGTGTTTTATAGCATGGGAGTCCCCTTCCCTTCTTACTACTTAGGGCTCCAGCCAGATGTCTTTGGTAGACAGGCGCTCCCTATAGGCGGAGAGCAGCCTCACACCTCTGCAGGCTGCCCTGGTTGCTAAGCAACTGGGCAGCCTGCACAGACTGAGACTGAGATGAAGTTCTGAAGGGAAAATTTTGGAGGAGGAGAGACCATTTCTCTCTCCATCCACCCTCTCTCTCATGCCTTCAGCAGATAGACAGGTTGGGGGCGGCACAGCCTGCTGCTGCTCCATCATCTGGGCTTCTTGAAAGTAGAGCTTCATCAGGTGACCCCAATCTTTGTGCAGAGAAGTGCATGCTCTTGCCCCGAAGCTGTGTGGTTCAATGGAAAGGGGGCGGGGCACAGAATGAAATTGTTGAAGGCAGAACTTCTTTGCTCTGAATGAGGGTGTTGTGTGAGTATGGATCTTTTATCAATGGGAATTCCAGCGAATTGAACATGGGTGGGAATTATTCTAGTAAAGTATCAGAAGTTTCCCCACCACTCCCCATGTATGGCTTAGGGAACTCCGACTCCAGCCCATTAAAAACAGAAAGGGTCCTGAATGCCAACACATAAATAATCAGCCACACATAGCTAGGGGAGAGCTATGTAGACTTTCCCCTGAACATTTTTACAAGATAGACATACCAGGCGAAGTATCTGGCAGCCAGAGAGCGCAGGAGCCACCCACCGACTCGGTCTACAATATCTATACAGAGCGCAACCGCAGGAGAAGCTTCTTGCTCTGTGTGCTTTCAAACTGAATTGGGTTGGGACTGTGCCTCAGCTCTATTAATAGCCCCCTAGCCCAGCCTGTTAGCCCCAAACCCGCATGCTAGGAGCTGTGAGTCAGCAGCTAAAAATAATGGAGAGCAATAGCACCCGAACCCCATTGAGCAGCTCCCCTGGCCCTCTGCCTCAAGTCTCAGGCCCAGGGCCTCATAGAGGATGGACATACCACAGCGGTCCAGTTCTCCTGGGGCGAGAGTAAGGATTTGCAGTGGCAGGCCCAGGGCTGGGGCACCAAACTTAAGGGGTAAGGCTGGATCCTGGAGGTCTCGAGCATTTGGGCTTGGACACTGAGATGAAAAGCCGAAGGGCCTGAGAGCTGGGGCTGTGCGGTGGAGGTGGTCTTGGTGCCATCAGGAGATGAGGGGAGGAAGAGGCTACAGGGCTGCGAAGCTGTAAGACTTGGAGAGGCCATAAAAGCAGGGGTAGGCCGAGGAAGGTATGTTGAGAGGTGAGGGTTTAGCAGGGTCTGACTGGGAGCTCCCAAAGGCCTGAATGAGGGGCAGGTGCGGGACGAGGGACTGGGGTGGGAGGACAGAAAACGAAGGAAATGCAGATTGAAAAGGCAGTGTGGGAAGACCTGTCCAGTACAAAGTAGCAGTGACCCCTTCACCGCCCCTCCCCCCATGGAGTGTCTCCCGCCTCCCCGCCAGTGGCACGCCAGTGTCCCCACCCACTACGGCCAGCTGCAAGCCCAGTAGGTTGATGCAGATGCCCGCGTGCGTCTGTCTTCAAGGCAGAGGCGGGGCGGGGCGGGGCAGCGAGAGAAGCAGTGGGGCCCAGGAGGAGGAGGAGGGGGCGGGAACACAAATGTAAGCCACCCCAGGGCAATTCAAGGACCGGAAATGACTGTGGGCATTCTGGGAACTGTAGTTCTTTTGGCTCCCCCCCGCAACGGAGGTGGTCGGGTCCTGTACGGAGGCTCAGAGGCTCTATTTCAGTCTGAAAAGAGCGTTTGGGAACGGAATATCTTGACCTTGCCAACACCTTCATTTGATATCGTGTAGGGACACAAACCAGGGCAAATGTTGGTGCAGTGGGTCAACCATGAAATCCTGCTGCCTCAATGTGCCTTAAGGGAACCTCATCCCAAGGCCAGCTCGGCATCGGTACCCTCAACTGCTTAGCCTAGGAACCCAAACGGAGCGGACCACACTGAGGAACTTGTTTCTCTAAGGGGTGGGTGGCGGTGGGGGATAGGCCGGAAACAGACTCTGTGCGCAGTTCCGAGAAGCAAAAACCTGTGGAAATCGGACGGTGCATCCAGAGTTCGGAGTCAAGGACATTCGTCTCTATTCAGTAAGGGGAACAGGTGGCATACAACCAAATATGACAAAGTGATGACAGAGCAGGACCTCCTCTTGGGGCCGGTGTCCACAAGGTGGAGCTACAACACAACTCTGTACAATGCGCCCCGGCCACCAGGAATGCGCCTGGTGTATGGTTTCTCTCCGGCTTCAGTATTTCGTTGCCTTAGGTTGTTCTTTCCCCACCCCTAGCCCATGAACCTCCCCACAGTGACCCTCTCTCCCCATGCCATGTCACATCCAACCCTAGAAAGGAGGTGCATCCTCCTCCCAGTCCCAGCACTGAACAGATTAGACGGTGACCCAACAGGAATGAAATTCATTGAATAGCAGATTAACAGACAAAGTACAGGAACCACATTTTTCTTGAAGAAAAGACTGTGAACAGCACAAAAGCCATCTGTAGCCATGGAATTACATGGCTAGATAGACTCTTTAGCCCCCCAGCTTCTAGGTCAGAAAGCAGCTAACAGGGATCGGGGAGACAGCGCATGGGGTGGGGAAGACATCCTAATCATTTTATAGTTTTCCAAGAAAGCCCAGTCACTCTTCCCAGATGTCCCACCCCTGACACACCCTGTGCCTTCTTCACAAGAACATGAACACACAGGTCTAGAACATTGTCTTGGCCGTCTTTCTTTCACTTCTTCTGTTTTAGATACCATGTCACCTTGGGGCTTGCCTACCATCTACATACAGGAGAGCCTCGTGATTCAAATTCTCCCCACCCCCACTTCCTACCCCTGAGATGGTCCACCTCAGCCATTCTCCCTTATGGGTAATGCAGACAGGCCTCAGCTTCAGTGTTTGAGGGGCCAGGGCAGTGAATTCCCTCCGGAATGCGAGTGTTGATCCTGGTCAGCAGCACTGATGTTTCTAAGCCTGGGTAGGGTAGGGAGAAGGTGGGGTATACTGAGAGTGAGTAAAGGAAAAGCTTTCACTGCCAGAGTTGATTCCAGAAACTCCTCTGAGTTTCTGAGACCCCGAATTTGTATGGGAGTAAAAAGTCTAGTCTTTCTCCCTTGAAGGGGCTGGTGACTTCACACTGCTGACCTTGTGGTCGGCAGCCCAACTTGTAAGCCAGCACCAGTGTTCTTCAGGGGAGAGCTAGTAGTGAAGGAGAAAAATAAGGTGGGCGGGGGAAGGGGGAGTTCGGAAGGGATGATATATGCAGGGAACAGTATAGCACTGATGAAATACATGACTATCTTCTAGTTCTTTTATATTTCCTCCCCCTACTATTAAGTTCTTAGCTTTACCTCATTAATCTTCTGAGACCTGTGTATGTTCATGTGTATAATTAAGATCGTTTGATGCATGAAATCCAAGATAGATAAACCCTCCAGAAATAGTAATGGGATTAATGATTTCCTGAGGGTGCATGAAGGGGTTGGGACAGGAAAGGGGAATCAATAGCAATGATGACTGTATAATCTCACTGAAGGGGAACAGATAACAGAATTGTAGGTGGACAGATACATTGGATGGTGTAAGATACAGCATAGTAATAATAATAATATATGATATAATATGGATTCTTGGGGGGGTAGAATGGGGGAGGGAGAGGATAAAGGGGAGCTGATAGCAAAGCGTTCAAGAAGAAAGAAAATGTTTTGAAACTGATGGTGACAGCAATTGTACAATTATGCTTGATCTAATTGAATGATGGATTGTTATAATATCTGTAACCGCTCCTGATCAAATGATTATTTTTAAAATGAGGTGAGGGAAGGGAGTTCTTACCAGTTCTTTCTCGCTCTGTAGCACATCTCCTATAGGAAGAAAAGTTTCCCACTGTGAGTTCAGTTGTCTTCACGTAGGTCTTTCTGATCCCAGATTTCCCCATATGCCTTTCCCAGGTTCAAACCAATTTGGTGGTACAAGGGCCTGAGAACCTCAAAGGAACCAGCCAGATCAAACCTCAAGTCACAAGCAACATATCTGATTCCAAATCAACCCCATCAGCAGGGACCTGGGCAGAGTGAATATTCAGAAAGTGGAGGCACAAGGCACTCACCTTCGGAGGAGAAAGGTCCACAAAAGCAGTAGGGCAGATATACCATTGGTGAGGATCCACAGCATTAGGTAGGTTTGAGGGGGCTATGGGAATAGGAAAAGGCCTTTGTTGGTGGCAAGACCCCAAAGGTAGTATGTGGGTGGGTGGGGGAGTGAACAAGAAGGGGATAGAGTTAAAGAGAAGCAGGGAATAGAGGAGAGAAGTCCCAGAGCCCTTACAATAAGCCAGAGAGGGTAATGCATCTGTTGCAGCAGCTGGCAGTCGTTGGTGGTGACTGAATCCACCCCTGCACACCAGAGTAGGGAGAAGAGCCATGACTTATTCACAACAAATAGGTTCACCGACACATTATCCTGGTGTAGTGCCCTGTGAAGGTGGGGAAAAAACATCTAGATTCATGGGGCACAAGGAATGGGAGGCAGCTTTCTGTTGGTACTTGAATCAACAATGTTATTACCAAGATAGTATCAGTTTTGCCTTTGCATACCAGCCTCTAACCCAATGTTAATTTCTTGGTACAGCTGTATTCGGTTCTCTTGGTGCATTCAACCAAGGGTATTAGCTTTGGCATCTGGGGATACACAAATGTGTCCCTTCCCTTTGTTTTATGACAGCCCTTCAGAGGTCTGAGTAGCAGAGACGATGTCCCCCTGAGTCTTCTCTTTCCAGGCTTAGTTCCTTCAACCATCACTCTTGGGATCCTTATCATACAACTCTCTTTAATCTCATCATATTCAAATTTATCAATGTTCCTTTTAAAATATGGGGCCTCCATCTGAATATGATCTCCCAGATGAGCATGGGTGGGCCAGCTTTGAGTCGAGCAACGCTATCTCCTTCTGTTCTCTGGTCACCGTACCTGCATGACTATGGTCTAGAATCAGGTTAGTGTTTGACAATGCCACATCCCACTGATGGCTCATATGTGCACAGTGTTCATTCAAAGGCCTGGCCTTTTTCATACACCTTCCTGCTAATGCTTCTGTCTTTGTGCAACTGAGCTACTTTTGAGCCCCAATATAGAGCTTTATATATCTTTCTGCTGCAGTTCACCTTGGTAGAATTGGCCCATCCCTTTAAAGTACTTAGACCTAGTTTTATCATCGATTTGCATTGATTCACATCTTTTGGAAACATGATCAGCAGTTGATGTTGACAAGGGATAGATTGAGGTGACAGCCAAACTGTGTCATGTCTCCTTCCATGGTGACAACTGGGGGAGAAGGCCTTAAAATACTTAGAATAACCACAAGTGCATTTTCAGAGACCTTGGCAACCACCAATGCTTTGAAGTCCATCTTATTGATTGGCTGTGTCAGGTTCTGGAGCCCAGCTCACCTCTGGGGCTCTCTTGCCTCTCTCTTCTCTGGATCCATCTTCTCTTGCACTGAACTTTTTTTTTTTTTGTAAAATAAAAGCTAAAATCCTTCTTATGGCTTATAAGGTCCTGGCCAGTTTGGCCCTTGCTTTAATCTCCAATCTCACTTACCCTTACTCATCAGGCTTCTGTCCCTCCTTTTCCAAAGGCCTTTCCACAGCTCCTTCTGACCATTTAGTTCTCAGCTCACACATCACCTTCTCTAGACACTTTTACTAATATAGGCCCCTGTAGCACTCACTCCAAACCCACTCAGTCTATGGTATCATTACATCTGTTTATTGTTGTTTAAACACTAGTCACTATCTGATATGCATACATTCTGTTAGTTTGTTCTCTGTCTTTTGCACTAGTACATAAACCCCATAAAAGCAAGGACCTTGTTGATTTTATTCGTGTTGTGTCCTCAAAGCCTGTAATAAATTGTGTCTAACACATAGCAAGTACTTAAATATATTTGTTGCATGAGTGAGTACATGATTAGCCTCACTTTCCGGAGTCTAGAGTCAGGTTAGTGTTTGTTAATGGTCTTCCTCACCATTAAGTCTCATGTCAACCCCGAAGGTCTTATCTTTCTGCACTCACATCCTCTGGCACTCACTTGATATCCAACAATGGCAGGTGTTGGTAGGGAAGGTTGAGAAATTGGGGTCTCTCAGTTGTGTTGGCTCCCTGATGTCCATATATCTGGCGCATTCTGGGAGCCCGCTGTTGGACACTGGACCGATTTTCATCTGGTAGCCAAAAGACCTGTGGTTCAGGGAAGATGGGAATGAAGCTGGAGAAGACACAGGGATTCCATGGAATAGGGCAAGGTCAGAGAGATTTCACTACAGAATGGGGTATATGAGTTCAGCAGAGCTCTCTTTGGAGCTGAGAACAGCCCCCGAATCATCACCAGGGCCTAGGGAAGGCAAGTTGAGGAGTGGGGTGAAGGGGGCCATTGGGGTCTTGGCAACATCACCATGGCCTGGGGCACTCTTGTACTCAGCACAGTCTCCAATGTCTGGTTTACAAAGGTATCATGGTATGTGTGGTTTCGCGGGGGGCGGCGCAAGTCAAACATGATGGAGAGGTTGAGGGCTGCAGCTTCCTTCAATAACTCTTCTAATGCTGGTACTGTCTGATTTTCAGCTTCTTTCCAATCAGGGCCTGATAATTTCTTGGCCCCCCAGAAGGGCTGTCTCTATAAGAATAAAAAGACTTTTAAAAACAAGAATATAAGACAAGTATTTCAGTATCAAAAGAAGCCTCCATCTTTACATCTTAACTCATTTTCCTCACTTAGTATTTAGCTTCTGTCCACTTCTAAGCCAGTCTTTCTGAAAACTGTGGCCTTCTACCAGACCCTGTAATATCTTTATTTTATGATGTCAAGATCCTATGCTGCGGGAACCGATGACAAGGATCTACATATAACCCCCTCCCTGAGGGATGGACAACAGAAAAGCAGGTGAAGGGAGACATCGGACAGTGTAAGACATGACAAAATAAGAATAATTCATAAATTATCAAGGGCTCATGAGGGAGGGGGAGCGGGGAGGGAGAGGACAAAACGAGGAGCTGATCCCAAGGGCTCAAGTAGAAAGCAAATGTTTTGAGAATGATGAGGGCAACAAATGTACTTGACACAATGGATGGATGTATGGATTATGATAAGAGTTGTATGAGCGCCCAATAAAATGATTTTAAAAAATCCTATGCTGCAAGTTTTCTAAATAGCCCCTTCCACTGAACCTTCGCTTTGGTTTCATGGAGACTTCTGTGATCCTGAGCCCTTGGTTTCCTCCAAATTCCTTAGCCTCTTTGTGGCCATGCCTCTAACCTCAACTCACGGTTCATCCACAACTTGAATTAACTACTTTTCCACAGCACTTTCGATTCCCTTACTGCCCTGTCCATTCTACAAATCCCAAACTCTCAATTCAGTTCTACAATCTGTCTTTTACACTCCTATAATTGGGGTGTGAGGGGGAGGTCCGCTACTGGCCACTGCCATGGACAGAGAACACACCTCAGCCCTATTTTAAACTCTCAGTTCTGCTCAGTAATCCTTTCACTGCAAACCAAACCCACTACCATTAAGTCTCTTCCAACATAGCAATCCTACATTGCTATATGGTTTCTATGACTGTACTTTGTTACAGGAGAAGATAGCCTCATTGCTCTCCAGCAGACAGAGGAGCTGGTGGGTTTGAACTGCTGGCCTTGAGGTGAGCAGCCTATTTAATGCCTAACCCACAATGTCAATCCTTTCAGCTATTCTTAATTTCCCCCCTCTTTCATTCTAACCCTCGAGCCACTCCACAGGAGAAAGATGAGTTGGAATCTACTCAATGACAATGAATTTGGTTTTGGTTTTTCTCTTTTCTTCTAGTGAGCCTTTGCCATTATCCTCGGCACAGTACCCTTACCTACTTGCAAACGAAAGTGTTCTAAGTACTTGATGTGTATTAATTTATTTAATCCTCCTACTAACCCGAAAAGGCAATTACTGCAATTATTCCCATTTATAGATGAGAAAATTGAGGCACAAGAGATTAAGGAAATGTTGCTCAGGGCTAAACAGTTAGTAAATGGTTGGACTAGAATTCAGACCTACGTAGCCCTTGCTTTGAAATTCTCTGTTATACAATCATATATAGAGTTAAATGGGGGGGCGGGGGCGGGGGCGGAAACTACAAAAGAATATGTATCGTATAGTGATTGTTTGTACGAAATATTAAAAGTTCCATATGCATATATATTCAACTATTAGCAGGGAGTACTTCAGAGAGTTTGGGTTATAGGGAACATTCCAATTTCTACATTTCTTTAATCTTTTGCTTTTTTGACAATGAACATGTATTACTTTTGTAATCAGGAAAAGAGGAACTGAAAAAGTTGAGTCTCCTTCTAAATATTTTTCTTCATCTACTGTACTAATGTCTACATTTTCATTGAAAGCCCGTCAAGACCAGGTCTCTGCTCCCACCACTTCAGTGATTTTCATCTTCCAATTATACTGAGCTACTTTTTGTTCCCTGAAAAGACACATTCATACTTCTGGGTTTTATACCTGCTTTCCCTCTAACTACATGCTCTTTTCTCATCCTTGCCAAAAAGGCTATAATTTAATTTATTTTTTTGCTCAGGCATCTTCTCCTCTGTGGAACCACGCTCTGTTCTCTTCTCTCTCTCTTTCTCTCTCTCTCACACACACACACACACACTCACCCTGGTACATATCTTTATTGCTCTAGGCTTCATATTCCTCTAATAGCTTGTTGTATGGGAGTGACTTGAGGGCAGAGAATGCATTCCTAATGCCCAGCACAGGACTCAGCAAATGCTTATCAATGGAATGAACTCTGCCCCTCCAGGTGGCTGCCTCTCCTTAGAGGCTTCCCTCACCTGTAGGAACCAAGTCCCGGCATTGAGTCTCTTCAATTCAGACCAGGAGAAGTCGCTGCTGTGGGCTGTAATTCGGTCTGGGAACACAGAGGCCACATTCGTGGTCCTACTCAGTTGCTCATCATGCATGAGGAAGGGAACCCCGTCAGAGCTGAGGGCACAAGGTGTGTCAGAGGAGCAAGCTCTAGGGCTGATAGTCATTTCCTGAGCTCTCCTGATACGTCCCCCAACTTCCCAGGTTCACCAACCCCAAGCCTCCCTCACCTGACCATCACATCGGTCTCAAACACAGTAGCTCCACATTCTGCAGTCTTCCGCAAGGACATTAAAGTGTTCTCAGGAGCCAGCTGGAAAAGGGAATCAGGGAGGAGGTAGCAGGGAAAGGTGGAAGATTAGAATTCATAGGTCTGGCTGTTGCAGCCTGGAAGAGCAGATCACCCTCCCAGCATTTTGCTCAACACTTACCATTGGGGCCCCTCGGTGTCCCACCAGCCCAGGCTTAGGGGGTAAGTCTCTGGGTTTCATGAGGCAGGGTGAGGAGATGAATAGGGGGGCCAGATAGATGGCCAAGGTAACTCCAAAAAATAAGAGTAGTAGCAGAATCTTGGGTCCTGTGGGGAGGGGTGACAGTCGATGGAGAAAGGGCAGTGGGTGATCTCTAAGGGCAGAAAGCAGGAGGTTGGGGCTGAGAATGTGGACAACAGGAAGTAGAAGCATTACAGCCAGTGAGGACTTCGGGGGGGGGGGGTGATACCTTTTTTATGCATACAGTAGAAGATATCAGCCACAGACCAGGCCAGGAGGGTGATTCCGGCCACTGCTCCAATATGGAGGAATGGGGCTGTGGCCTGTGGACAAAAGTTGGTGAAAAGGGGTCTTTTTACTGGTACCCCTCCTTCTCCTGTTTGGAGTTCAGAGCTTCCGACAATCTTGGGGGACCAGGGTGCAAGATGCTTTCTGAGGTTGGTTGAGGGCGAAGGCTCCCATTTTGGCATTAGGGATCAGCCACTCACCTGTAGTGACAGACGTAAGCTGTCCCACTCCTGCCGCCATTGGATCTCCAGTCCCACGAGGCCAGTAGCCACAAGAAGCATAATGAGGAACAGCAGTATCTGGGGGATCAAGGGTGACTTGAGCCTTTTTGGTCAACCTAACGTCATAGCTACCTGTGTTGTCTCCTCACTCTATGGAGAAAGGACCCATCTCTTCCCCTGACTCACCCACTGCCCTCCTTTCCAACAAATATTTATTGGGCTAGGTTCTTGAGCTAGATCCTATAGATATGACAAGGAAGCCCTTGACAAATAGTCAGACAAACCCTGGGCCCTAGTGGTTTTTTTTCTCCTGAGCCCCCATCTTCACTATACCTTGTGGAGACTGTGCAGACGCAGAGGCTGTCCGCAGAGTTGCAAGAGTAGGGCCAGGAGCTAGGGGCAGAGGGTGATTAAAGTAATCAGGTCACCAAGAGAGGGCAAGGTTACTAAGGTGGGCTTCCCAGAATGATACTTCCCTCCCACACCAAAATTAGCCCCCTCCCCTCATTGGTTAGGGTTAGAATAAGAGGGTAGAGCTGGGCAGAAAGGCTGAACTGGGGGTTTAGGTGAGTTGCCAACTCCCACCCGACTCACCAATAGTAGAGATGCATATGTGACCAGTAGAGAGATGACCAATAGGAATACCAGGGACCAGTCCATCCAGTGTCCCCAGTGGTGAAATAGGAATCTGTGGGAGGGAAGGAGGTGTCAATGAGGGGAAGGTTGTCAATAATGACCGGAATGAAGCTGGTAGGTAGATCTAGAAGGAGGACTAGGAGGGAGTGATGGGAAAGTCCTTCATGGGGCCAGGGGCTCTAAAGATGGGGAAGATTTTGTAGAGGGATTTTCCAGGGAGATTGGGTAGGGGGGTGGGGCTGGGCAGGGCTGAGGGATAACCGATGATAGGGGCGAAGTACCCAGGGGTCCCAGGATGGATAGTAAGGTAATAACATGTATGCTGAGGAAAGGCGGGGGGCGGGGTTCATGACACACTCATTGAAGTTGTGCAGGTCATTGAGAAGGATGAGCCCGATGTACAGCCAGGCCAGGGAGAGGAGGAAGGTGAAGAAGAGTAGGCCAAACCAGATACAGTCACACTGCAAAGGGGCAGGAGAGAAGCTCGCAGTCAATTCTCATTTTCAACCCAGAACCCCTATATATGGCAGCTTAAGGCAGCTCCCTGCCTTGTGTTGAGTCACTCTGTTTGGGGGATGGCATTTTCCACATTTGAGGGTGATTTTCTTCCTGGAGGAAGGGAAGTCCATAATCCCACCCCCACCCCCCACCCCAGGTACCTATGAACACAATTGTTCTCTTTCACCCTTCTGATTGACTTCTGCCTTCTGCCTTCCAGCCTTCCCTTCCATCCCTACGCTACCTTGCTGGTTTGCATCCTCTCTTTGCGGGATTGCTTCCAGTGGCAGCTATACAGGCAATGGAGGCACTGGGCCCAGATGGAGCTGCATCTTGAGGACTGAGCCATGATGGTGAAGGCCTGGGGAAAGGAACACTGGGCTGTCAGAGACCCTGACAAAGCGCAGATGTTAGTCTCCCTCCCAGTACATCTGAGGAACCTAAGGAAGGAGCCAAGGCATAGGCTACTGGGCAACAACAGAGGTCAAGGAAAGCCAGAGTGCCAGACGGGGAGGTGAGCATCCCTGGCTCCAAGCCTTGTACAGGAGAACAATCTCCAGGCTCTCTCTTCCCCCTTAATCTTGATACCTGAAAAGTTAAATGGACACTAGGAAGCCCTGCCCTTTAACAGACACCCCTTCTTTCTAAATCTTCCCCATTTAATAGTATTAAGCTCTGGGGACAGAGTGCTTGTCCTGCGTGGAACAAACTCAGCTTGGCAAGTAAAGGCATAACTAGCCAAGCGTGAGAAATGGCATGATAGGGAACCTTCCATTCCAGGAAGCAGAAGTAATGAGGCAGATACTCCAATTCTGACTGGGGCCCATGGAGCTGGCCAGTTGCTATGGATACAGAGATTACACACATCACAAAACCCAGCCTGAAAAATTTTCTGTCTTCACCTGCTAGGGGGCAGGAGGCACTGGCAATAAGACAAAACTTTTGGGGGTGGCTTCTGGATCACTCCCACTTTCTAAAGGAACCTATTTCCTACCCAAGCGAAATCCCAGCCCTCAGCTCTCCTGCTCAGTCATCCCTTAACCCCAACCAGGAACCTACTCTTCGCCTTCCTCCTCTCTGGGGCCCCACCCTTTGAGTTAGCTTCGGTGAAAGTACGGGAACAGGGTGTGTGTGCTTGGGGAGGTGTGGTTGTCTTGGGGCGGGGGATCCATGTACCTTGTGATTCTAGATCTGAGATGGAGCCAATTTACTGATCCCTAACCTGGCCTGTGTAATCATGATTCTTTATGAGCAGGTATGTGATTTGTGTCAGCTTATGTTTGCATATGTGTATAAGTGGCTGTCAGCACAACTGGGTGTCTAGGTGACTGAGTATACACAAGAGCCCCAGTAGGACATGTGTTGGTCAGCTAACTGAAAGACTGGTGGGTTAAAACCATCACCTGCTCCAAGGGAGAAATATGGGGCTATCTGCTCCTATAAAGATTTAGTCTTGGAAATCCTGTATAAAGTCTCTGCGTCAGAATCAACACGATGACAGTGGGTTTGAGTATGCAAAGGAACCCTTGGATACAATCAGAGTGTGTGTATGAGAGAGGGGGGTAGCCTAAGGGACACAACCTCTTGCTCTCTGGGCTACCCTGTGGAGTAAGCCCCTTGGGAGGAACAGCATGGCAGGCAGAAAATTGCTCCTGAAACTTCACTATTGATCCTATGCTCACCTTGGGTAAGGAGAGCTAGAGTAGGGGGTTAAGAGTGGGCAGGTAGGAATGGAAGAAAGGGTGAGGGAGGGAAACCTTTTACTTCAGAGACCCCTCCCAAACACTATATTAAAGGGCGGCTCCTGACTCTTCCTATCCCAGGACTGGGTTGCTGTAGCCCCCACTTCTTTCAGGTCCTTCCCCTCTACTCCAGCCACAACTTTCCAGAGTTCCACCTACCTCCAGGAGGTATTTGCAGGATGGGATCAGGGAGCTCAGGAGAGGTGCTGCGATCCTGGATCCTGGGCCTAATAATCCCTGCAGGTTGCCAGTCTCCGACTCTGCCCCTCCAGACTGGAACCCCCAGCCTGCCCAAGCCCTCACACCTCTTTTCAGCGGTAACTCTGCTCTGCTTCCCAGCTCCTCTCCGAGTTGTCTGCCTCCTCCCTCTTCCAGTCCTTAGCTCAGCCCCACCAGTAAAACAGGTGGCACTGATGCCACCTATAGGAGACTGTGTGAGTCCTCTCTGAAGGCTTGCAGCTGCTCTAAGGCCTGTGCCCAGTTGGGTGGGAAGATGGGAGGGAGGAAGGGGGCGGAGTGCAGATCTGCTTCTTTACTTGCTGTCCATTAGGGGGACTGGGGTGAGGAATTCCTTTGTGCAGCCTTCCCCCATCCTTCCTCTGGTCCCCCTCCCAGTCACAGGAGGGCTTTGTCCTGGCTCAAGGAAGAGATGACTGAGGGCGGGAAGCTGGGAACACACAACTCTGCAACTTGGCATTGAGAAGGGGCCCAGCTGCCCCCTGGGAGGTGTGTGTGTGTGTGTGCGTGTGTGTGTTTGCTCCCGCAGTACACGCACGCATGCACACACACACACACACACACGCATCTAGTTTCAAGCTCCTTGGGAGTATATATGTTACATTTATTAGATATAGTTTGAAGTTATTTCCTGAACTCCAGGCAGCAAGTTGCTTTGTTCCCCATGGGCCTACTGACTCCGAGCAGCTCTCCCCTTTCTGCATCACTCCGAACGGGAGCTGCTCATTGAGAATACATCGAGGCTTTCATCACTCCTGCGTCCTTGTTCCTAAGGCTGCAAGAATCCTCTGAGTTTTAGAAGTTGATCTACGAAAGATGTTGCTGTAGCATCAGCAGGGGAGGACTGGCTGCAAAGTTGTAGCATAAGCAGCTTAGCTTTGACAGGGGCTAGCTTAATTGCTCTCCCACCCGCTACTCTTTTGACCGATGAAGTGGCTCCATCCAAATCTAGGGGCTAGCAGTGTTGGTGGGAATGGATATCTTCTTTGGGAATCAGCCAGTTTGCCCCCCACCCCCATGCAGTGGCTTTCGAACAGTGAGAATGAGACTAGCTCTCTAATGCCAGGAGCTGCTCCCTTCCCCCTCTGTCCTCCCATTGTATCCAGGGGCTCTATTTGGCAATGGGGGAGACTCCCTTGCTCCCTCTGCATTAAAATGCAAAGAGAAGCTGGGCTGCTCCCTGGCTGGAGGCCCCAGAGGGCTGCCAGGTCACCTAATCCTCCTGCAAGCTTCATTCTAGGCATGCTGTCATTCAATTTCCTTTGCTGAATTCTAGAAGAGGAGTCTTGGTTTTAGAGTGCCAAGTTATTAGGTGTGGCTTCGGATTGTTTGTGGCATGTGGGGGTGAGGGGGTGGGAGTGCAGGGATGTGAGGTCCAAGAGTTAAACTCCTCAGAGAAGGCCGTAAGGCCAGCCAGCAGCTATGTGTGGCATTCCGGGGCTAGCCCCTTTGAGCTTTAAGCAAGAATGGCGAGCCCAGATGTCTATTAAGGAGTAAGCAAGCAGCCTGTGCTCCTCAGGCTTAGGATCTGACAGCAGTGATTCCCAAGCCCATTGTGCACCAAGAAATCAAGCTTCAGCCTGCTCCTTTAGAGTCACACAGGCATGTCAGACCAGGGCTCAAGTTCTAGCTCTAGAAGTACACAATTTAGTGACTTTAGATATGTTACTTAACTGCGTAGATGCTTAGTAAATGTTATTTCTTTCCAGATCTTGAGACAGGGCAGATTCTACAATGGATGGAGGCTAGGCTATTAGCCTTGCTAGTTTTATGCCAATTTCCTAGAGTAGCAAAGCAACAGAACACACTGCCATGCCCCACACCGTCTTCTGGGAAAAGGGCAGTTACAAGACAGGGAGGCTAAGGTATTTGCAATGAATCTCTGTAACAGCTTTCCTATGGACTCAGGGACACAGGTTGGAAATTTTATTTCTCATTCTAGCAGAGAATATTTAATAAGACTAACATTTATTTATTTAACATTTACAAGTATTTTATTTACCTCAGGAAATGGAAGACAATTGAAGGTACTGTTAAAATACATAAAATCCAGATCCCAACTCCATTCCTAAGGTAGGGTAGGGGACCTGAGCCAGGCTTCCATGATAGGCCAGGCTCTTCCATTAAGTTGAGACAACCTAGGCATAAGAAAAGCTCAGTTTCATTCCCATTAGGCAACAGGCAGTCTTAACCAATCATAGAAGAAAGAGTTAGATGGTCCTGGGAACTGGTTTCCAATAAGTCATTAGGAAGGTCAGTTGACTTTTTCTTCAATAGGTGGCTCAACACCATTCTGGAGAAGACAGAGTAAGTAGTCTCGTGTTGCAAAGATGGAGACTAAGACCCAACAGTCAACAAAAGTTCCAGAAGTCTTTACAAGTTCTTCCCGGCTGCAACCTGAAAGCATGCCGCAAGTCAGACTGGGAATAGAGATGATGATTAGAACTTCAATGGCTCTCTTCGTCAATAGGGGAGCAGCCAGAGAAGAAGCTGGTATTGCTGGCCAGAGCTCGTTTCTTTTTCTTTCCTGGGGCCTTATTTTCTTGGGCTTCTGTTGTTACATGTTTCGATTCTGGAAGGTCAAGGCAGGAGGGAGCAGGAGTCAGGGTTTTTACCTGCTCCACATCATGCATCTCTTTCAGGATCTAAGAAGGGCAGAGACAAGGCATGAATGAGATCTCTGAGAGAGGAAAACTAGCCCATAAAATTGCTGAACACACTCCCAGTAGTATGATGTGTCCCCTAAGATTGCTGAATACTAAAAAAGATACACTAAAACCAAATTCAATGCCATCAAATCAATTCCGACTCATAGCGACCCTATAAAACAGATTAGAACTGTCTCCGTGAGTTTCGGAGACAGTTAATCTCTCTCTCTCTCTCTTTTTAAAATGCATGCTTTTTATTCTCTTGCTCTAAGAACTTATATCAATAAAAAATATTAAACCAAGGGAAAGAACTGAAGATTTGTATGCCTCTTGTGCTTCAAAAAGAAAGTTTTGTGTTTTTTTTAAATAGTAGGTAGCCACTAATTTGCTTGGGTAGAGCAGATTTAGTTGTCTGTACTTTGAAGTTTATTTAAGAATGGGTTTTAGAGTAGGAAGAAAGGGTGAAAAAAAATTCCACTAGCCCATTTCAGAATTTAAGCAGGGGGCAGCAGACAGTTACACACACATAAAATTATGGCAGCAGTTCAAATGTGACCAAAATTTTCTGAGCACAGATAGGACTCTTAACAAAGCTAACACACTAAATCATATCTAAATAGATTTTAAAAGAAAATGCACAAAAACAAAATAGGAATTTTGAGATTTTTTCATTGACGGTAAATCTTAATGCTACTAAATTTACAAATATACTAATTGAAATACCCTATCCTAATTTTTATCTAAAACACACATTGCAAACATACAAATATCTATTCTTTTCACGTGTTAGCACCCATTTGTATCACGATTTGGAAATGGGAGAATAGATTCCCCTTCAACTGCCAGTCAGCAGGTGTTTTTTTAGTTAACTTTAGAAAAATTCATACAATAGTGATTAACAATGATCTTTACTTGTTAACTCACAAGGAAACACCTTCAAAACTACATTTTGTTAAAGTTTCTGTATTAAAATGTAGAAAAACCAAAGCACACAAATATAGAAAGGTTAAAATCCCTTAATTTTTTATTTCTAGTTCCACTACCACAATTGACAGGGCAACATACCTGATGTGATGAAAAGAAAAAGAAAAAAAAGACAAAGCTACCACAGATAAAATACCTCCGGAATGTATACTTGACCCTACGCTGCATTAATCAGTAGCTGCACCTTTCGCAAACTGTGGCTACGATAGTCCTGAATAAGAAGAATTTCCTGTTTGAGCTGCAGTAATTTTTCTGACTATGGATCAGTCCCTCTACTATGTTTGAGCTGACTCTCTCAAAGAAACCTGTCCTGACAACTCCTCGCACTCTCTCCTACTGGAACTGTAGCTTTTTTCTGCTTAATTTTTAGAACTTTCTGCTACGATATCCACCACTTCTACCAACAGATCCATAACCACCACCATAAGAACTGCCTGAGCTTCTTCCACCCAAACCACCCCCTTTCATGGGTCCGTCATTTGATTGCTGCAGTCTACGATACATTTCCAAAATCATTGTAGTTCCCACGACCACCATAGTTACGAGGCCCCAAATTTCCTCCTTCATTGTAACCATCATATCCTCCACCACCGCCACCATATCCACCACTTTGGTTTCCATGCTCTGGTCCACTATCACCATAGCCTCCTCCACTACTATAACCAGGACCATCGCCATAGTTGCCACCATTGCCTCCAAATTACTTATATCTACCATTACTTCCTCCATAACTACCTCTGCTGCCGCCACCTACAGCACCATAGCCTCCTCTTCTACCAAAGTTCCCACCATGGCCAAAAGTCCCTCCACAACCTATAAAGTTGCCAGATCCACCTCCAGGACCTCTCTGTGAACCAGCAGACTGCATCTCCTGTTTTGAAAGGGCCCTTTTCACGTCAAAATTCTCTCTTTTTTTATGCTACCAACAAAAATTTTTTTTACTGTTCAATGGGCACCAGGCTTTACAGAATCCTCTCTTGAAACAGCTCTCTTTGGTTCCGTTAGAGGCCCAGCAACCTTGTGTTGCTGGGTACATATTGCTGCATCCACCTCTTCAACGCAAGAGTAAGTCACAAAATCAAAGCCCCTGGAATGTTTTGTTTGTGGGGGCTGTCTCATCACCACACCATCTGTGAATACGCCCCATCTCTCGAAATCTTCTCTTAAACTATCGTCTGTAGTTACAAAGTTCAGGCCATACATAAACAGTTTTCACAATGGTTCAGGCTCCTTTGGATCATGACCCTCCTCCTCCTGGCAGCGATGGCAAAGGCTACGTTCAGAGTCAGGCTGGTGGCAACTGGGCGGCAGTTTTACTTCCATTTTGAGACCGGACTTGTCTCTTCCAACTCGAGTTCAAAATGAGATCGAGAGGAAGAGGCCGAGACTATAAATCTTTATGGGAGTAGAAATCCTCATCTTTCTCCCATGAAGCAGCTGGGCATTTTAAACTGCTAACCTGTGGTTAGCAGCCCAATGCATAACCCACTATGCCACCAGGGCTCCTAAGATTGCCGTATAGAAAAAGCAAACAAAAACAGACTCTAG